TGTCAACATTGGTCTTGTTTTTCTCAAACACATTTCATCACAAAATGATTCCAAGTTCAAACTTGGTCCCATCTTTATTGGTTGCCAAACGAACAAATTTTGAATTAGACCTATTCCCAAAAAAAATATCAAAATAAATCTAGGCCCAAAATATTTATCAAAATAGACCTAGTTTCTGCTACGTTGTTGAAATTAGGTTGATTTTGATAAATATTTTGGGAACTAGGTTGATTTAAAAAAATTCATAAACTCTATGGGATGGGGAATCCCGGAGAGTTTAACACACAATTTAACTTCACGGGATTGCTAATTTTTTATTACCAAAATCGACCTAGTTTTGCTAATGTCGCTAAAAGTAGGTTGGTTTTGATAAGTATTTTGCAAGCAGGTCGAAATTGATAATTTTATTTTTGAAAAAGTCTATTTTAAAAATTTGTTCATTGCCAAACACACCCTAAAACTCAAATTTTAAAAAATTTAGGATATGTAAATCCTTCTAAAAAACAAATGAGGATATATAAATGCAAACAAGGGAACTATATAAGGTGCCTAGATGCCAGTTATTTCTATCCTTCGGATCGAAAGCTATAAGGGCCTGTTTGACTGAGGGTTTTTTGGGGTTGTAATACTATAGGTTTCAGCCCGCTACAGTATTACAACAAAAACGTGTGTTTACTTGGTTAAATGGGGGGGCTATTGGGGCAGCTACTGTAGCTGAGTTGGTGGCCCCTAGTTAATTCCCAGCAAAAGCTCATTTTTAGAGTGAAGTTACTATAGTCATCAAACAAAGCAGAACCACCTGACTTCGTATTACTGTAGCAATCACCCGATTTACAAAAGAATGTCCAAATAGTCCCTGAACCAACCGACAACATATATAAAAAAATAAAAAAATAAAAAAAACACCCCCCCCCCCCNAAAAAAAAAAAAAAACCCCCCCCCCCCCCACACACACCCCCACCCACACAAAAATAAAATAATACAAAACCCAGCGACCTAGTACCTATTCTTCTACTAGTTTTTATGCACGTGCAGTGCACGTGGTAAAAATATCAAAATATTTTTTTATATTTATTTTGTTACTATAAATAAGTCAGATTTATCTTGCGTTCAAATATGTAAAATTAAATTATTAGATTTACTATTGTTTTATTTAAATATTATTAAAAATCAATGTAATGGATTTTTAAGCTAAACTGAGATGATGTACCTAACCGGGATATTGTAATTTTCTTATTGTATTGAAAAGAGAATTGCACAGTATTTTTGGATATTATAAGCTTAATTGAGACATCTTAATTGATTTCTTAAGAAAAAATATGAATTGACATAATAATATCTTCAAGTAGAATAGGAAAAGAAAATAAAGTAAATTAATACTTTATGTCATATTCCAAACTCTACTAATCCCAAGATATAATATGGAGTCAAGCATGAATAACAATATCATTATGAACTAATGTTCTAGTAAAAAAAAACCATATTTCTTATTACATTGAAAATAAAATTGCACAACACATTAGGACATTATAAGCTCATATTTTGTAATAAACAATTGTACGAAACCATAATAATCATATAAAAATAAATTACAAGGAATGGTTCCGAGATACCTCTTCTTACATGAGATAATAAAAATCAACCTATACAATAATATGCATTATTGAAAACCAGTAGGATTTGAGCAAACCCATAAAGAAATTTATAATGAAGCTCAAAGAAACATGAATATTTTAATCAAGTACGCATTGCAGAACATTGTAGTCAGAGAGTAATTATCCAAAAGCAGTAAGATTAGAGCAAACTTATAAACAAATTTAGAACGAACTCGAAGGAACATGAAGATTTTAAACAATTGCGCATCGTAGAACTTTACAATTAGAGAATAATTATCCAAAAACAGTAGGATTAGAGCAATCCCATACAGAAACTTACAATAAAATTTGAAGAACAAAACATATCAATTACAAAAAAGTCAGGGAAAGACATCTATAATTATCCAAAAGCAGTAATAAAAAGACAAAAACTAAATAATAATGGTAACTATAGTATACTTTTATGTGATGAAAGCAATCACATAAGCATACAAAACTACTAATAATGTTGTATGAAAATCCCTTATAAAAATTCCTAATTCTACTAAAAAATTAAGATATAATATAAAATGATCAAAAAATATTATCCTTTATTATTTTTGTTTCATAGTTTAATTGAACCGAGATCAATCTTTCTCCACTTTTATCTTTTTTCTGGGTAATTCTAGAGTAACATCTTCATCATCTACGTCGATTGTAATATCAAGTTGGAGTTAGATTTCTTGTGCTATTATATTTCCTTTGCCTCGTTCATCTTTTGTTTTTTCATCTAACTTCACCAAGAATTTGAACGTTTTTTCGATGTTCAACACAAATTTCTAGAATTATAGACTCTGATTATTTTTCTGTTTCAATGAGAACAAATGTTATTTTAATATATATGAATTTTTTTTGATTTTCTAAATTATTACTTGAATAGAATTAGGAATTACCTTTTTTCTGTAATGGATTTTTTTTGTGTACATCCAATAAGAATTTTTGCTGCATCAAATAGTGTTACTCTTGCATTATCCGTGCTATTTTCTACAAGAATCTTAACTAGGTACCTGTAGTTTTCATTGTTGATTTCTGGAGATAGTTAATATTATATTTTAATATGTTCATGCCATAAAAAAAGATATATTACTTAACCTTGATACTGAGTCATCAATGATTCTGCGACATTTATCATTCAGACACTCTTTACTAACATCTTTATCTACTTTCTTGTTGTAGCCTTTGCATGCATAGAACCATGACTCGAGTCTATTCAAAATAGTAGTTATCTTTGCCTTAAATGTACTATAGCGTGTCTGTATATTGACAAAATTTAGTTAGATTTAAATGTGTTAATAAGAATATGTTTCTAATATTGTACATGTATCGAATTCTGTGATGTATGCATAATATCACTAATTTGAATTTCTTTTGCATTTATAAAAAAACGTTGATGGAGATCCTTTTGTTTTTGCGGTTTCTTCCAAATGAAACCTAAATATTAGATTAGAATATAATACTATTTCATTATTGCGTTATATAAAAGTATGCTTGTTCTACTTACCATTCCCTTAATTCTTTAGCTAGTTGTATTTTTGGGTTGATACATGTTGTTGATATAATTTGCAATGATATGCTTATCTCCCCTACAAAATTGAGATAATTATTGGATGAATTTTATGTTTAGCTAGCTGTCTTTAATAAGAATTTTAGTAATAAATTATGTACATTTATATATAGAGATTTTAAAATCTGATAATGCTATTATAGGATTATCTTTGATTTCGGCTTTAAGAATTGATCCTTTATTTGTAGCCAAATCTCCAAATAAAGTTGCGCGCATAGTCATTTCACTGTATATGAAAAAAAAGTACGTTAATCTTATTTTTTTTCTTATGATATTGGAAATAAGTATCATGAATATACTTTTTATCCATTAGCATGATTTTCCTCTTATTGTCTGGTTTGTTATGTTTTGTAATATAGTTGATCACCGGTTTCACGTTAGTTGTTATTGCAAGAATATCTGCAAGTAATTTTATAAATTTTTTATGATTCTATAAATTAACGTCTCATTTTGTATTGAAGATTAAAGTAAGAAATTTATAAGTACTTACTAATTTTTGTTGCATCTTTCATGAAAAATACTTCTTCAAATGAGGCTTCAATATGTTCTCCAAGTGGAAACATGTTGGTGCTTCTTTGATATATACGTCTTTTGTTAATTCAAGTGATTTGTGGATACTTGGAAAAGCTTGATTTATCCCTTTCACTTCTCCATTTGAAATAAAAATAATTTGATTCTTTCGAAGCATATCTATAAACGTTTTGATAGTCTCTCCGTGCATAACTCTATGTATTTTGTTACCCTGCAAATATTATTAACACCAGAGATAAATGTTTGGAAAATATAATTAATTAATACTAAGCTATAAATTATATTTTAATTAGTTATATGTAAAAAGGAAAACAACATAAAAAGGCATTCTGAAAGTTATTAGGATTTTAATGAAATTTACCGAATAGATAATGACAATCACAAAAAAATACAAGCTGAATTATAAACGCTGATATTATGGAAATAACAAAAAAAATGCAATCTTTTCTCCCTTTTCTTCTATTACAGATAAAAACTTTCATAACCCAAGCGGTAATATTTATCTTCAGAACTATGCTTGGAGGCTCTAGTACAATATCTAAAACCAATTCTAAATCAAACTCCAGAATAGTGGTAATCGTCACATTTTCAAATTCTCTGATAATTTTATATCTCTTTGCATAAGTAATGAATGAGCTTATTATGTATTCTCAAGGTAGGATCTCACGATACATGGTGTCAGTTAATGACGTTGTACTAATTGAGGAGAGAAGACCTCGTATTAAAAGACTCCAAATTAATATAATGAAAATAAAATGTGTAGAATGTACACCAGCGAGCAGAACCACCTGACTTCGTATTACTGCAGCAATCACCCGGTTTAAAAAAAAAATGTCCAAATAGTCCCTGAACCAACCGACAACATATATAAAAAAAATACGAAAAAAACAACCCCCAACAAAATAAAATAATACAAAACCCGGCGACCTAGTACGTATTCTTCTATTGTCCACTCATTTCCCATATAAAAAAATTAGAAAAACCCAACCGTCCAATTAAATCCAACGGTGCCAACCTCAGATATTTCCTTCTCTCCTCCGAACAAACCGGAGCTCAGACTCATTAACCGGCCACAGCCGGTCACCTGTCCGAAACCAAAAACAGTCACGTTTCTCGTTTTAGCCCCTCTATAAATCCCTTGTCATTTTTGGCAACCTATGATCTGATACCGTCCTTTCCTCTATAACAATGTTCGACCTGAACGTGACGTCATCATCGGCGGCGGCGGCGGAGGCGGGCGGAGAAGACGGCGCGGAAGCGGCGGAGCGAGAGGATTCGTCACGTCGAGCTCGTCGGCGTGCTCAATGCCGAATCTCGAGCGCCGCCGGCGATGAGGAGTCTTGCTCCACTAAGGAGCTAGGGTTTCAGTTCGAGATTTTGAAGGGTCGGAGGGGTTTCGCTACGAAGGAGCTGTTGCCTGCGGGCGGCGAACGTGCCCGCGGAGGTGAGGCACGTGCCGCACGTGCAGAAGCAGAAGCAGGTGAAGGGTGGCGGGGCGAACAAGGCCGGAGGAGCTCGTAGTATAGAGGGGTTACTTTTTATAGGAGGACTGGGAGATGGGAGTCTCATATTTGGTCTGTTTATTTTTCAATTTATTTTATTTTGTTAAATTGGTGTATTTTGTTTTGATTCTACTGAAATTTCTAATATTTTTCAGTTTTCTTTTCTTTCTTTCTGTTTTTTTTTGAATGTTTTTGTTCAGGGATTGTGGCAAACAGGTCTATTTGGGTAATGGGTTTGATTCACTTGATTAAATTTTGTTCACAATTGTTTGATTTGAGCTTATTTAGATTTATTTTTTGTGATTTTAGGAGGATTTGATACTGCTCATGATGCTGCCAGGTTAGTTTTTTTCTTACCTAATGAATACATGTAGTACGCGTGTTTGCTCGGGTAATCGTAATTGAGATTGTATTTCTTGTTTTTGATACGTAGGGCATATGATCGAGCTGCAATCAAGTTTCGAGGGGTTGATGCCGATATAAACTTCAATCTTAGTGACTACGATGAGGATCTGAAACAGGTGATGTGGGTGATTTGAGCTTGGGTGGAGGAAAAGTGGGTTGATTATGTGTTGAATGTTGTTGATTTTATTTGTTTTAGATTAGGAATTTGACTAAGGAGGAGTTTGTTCACATACTGAGACGTCAGAGCAATGGGTTTTCGAGGGGGAGCTCGAAGTATCGAGGGGTGACTCTTCATAAGTGTGGTCGATGGGAGGCTCGGATGGGCCAATTCCTTGGCAAGAAGTATGAATCTTTCATTTCCCTCAATTGTTTTGATTGTTTCCTAAAAAGTTGTAGAAAACTTTTTTACCAATTCAAATACATATTAAGTTCATTGTTGCTCGGATTCAACATATATAAATATAGAATAAAAATGATGATTGTATAAATTTCTAGTAAGATATTGTATAATGTATAATTCCATGCATTCTTATGTGAGAATGAAAAGAATAATTTCGGATTTGAAGAACTTGAAGAAAAAGAAGTTTTTTGACACACTTTTTTCCCCACAGAAAAAACTCAACTATAATAAAGTTTTCTATTCCACAAGAATGTCTATCATGCTTAATTTCTTTACTTTAATCTGTATGTCTTATTTGTCAAAAGGTATCCAGTTGGGACAGTGCATGGCATTTAATGTGCACGAAATAGATGTCAACCATTGGGTCCATGCACGAGTCCTGATGTCCAATGATCTAACGGTTGACATCCACTTGGTACACATTTAATTCCATGCACACAGGACGATTTGATACTTTCTCCTTATTTCTACCCTTTATTAAGTTAGTTTTTTCTTCATCCAATTGTCTTTTTACGTAAAGTATTATGTATGTTAGGTGTGGACAACCCAAGAATTTGGGTGACTAATATAGAATAGGGTGCATCAAGGTTATGGTGAGTGAGGGAGGAAGAAAAGGATTTGGAAACCCCAATTTTTACCAATGAGAAACTGATGCTTGCATGCAGGTACATGTACCTTGGGTTATTCGACAGTGAAATAGAAGCTGCAAGGTCCTACAAAGATTTGGATTTATTTAGTTTTTAGCTGTGAAATTCTTTGAGGTTTCAGTTTTTTATTGTTCGTCTTCCAATATGACTCATGTGTTTCTTTTCTCGTTGTTGGCTATCAGGGCTTATGACAAAGCAGCTATCAAGTGTAATGGAAGGGAGGCTGTGACAAATTTCGAGCCAAGTTCTTATGAAGCTGATAGTGAAGGTACTGGTCCTTTATGGTTTTCTTCTTTAAGTTGCAATAGATTCAATTATTGTCTTTATTTGAGCTGATTCATGTTGATCTTTAATCATTTGGTAGCTATTGGTCATGGCCTTGATCTGAACTTGAGTATTTCTCAACCGAATGTTGGTAGTCCAAAGAAGAGCAATCACCCGATGGGTCTCCAATTCCATTTTGGCTCTATTGAAGGTTCTGATGCAAAAAAAGCTAGGGTAATAACCCGCAACTACATAATATTTGACGGATAATAATTTTCTTTTGTGTAAATAAGTAAAATGGACATCATGTTGAACTATTTAGCTCAATTGTCGCTTCTTTAATCAATGAAATAATAATGGGTTGGAGCCAAGGACAAACGTAGCATCTTAGATCATGATTTGGTTTTAATCATAATTCATAAGTTGATGCGCAAAAGGGATACCTGCAGACTTTCAAATTATTTTGCGATTCTAATTTGTTTATTTCTTTCTTCATCCAGATTGACAATCATCCATACATTCTCGGTGGTCAGCCACATATACCTGTGGTGACATCTGAGCATCCCCAAGTATGGGCTTCTCTACGCCCCAGTTTCTATCCCTCTACAGAGGTACATTCTACCATTTTTTCACGTTGCAATTTTCATGTATACTAAATTTCTTGATGTCCATTGACTCGTATATTTACTGCAAATACCAATGTCGAAATTCAGCCTGAAATATATTTTCTAGAATATCTAACAATGAAAGGATCACAGCGCTCAATATACTATAGTAGAATGGGGTCAATCCCACATTTTAGCAAGAAGCTTTGGTTTCACATTAAAATCAATAACTTAAATATCTGCTTGCACCTTTGAAACTGTGAGGCACTCAGCAAGAGTATCCCAGTTCTTGATGCCAATAATATTCTTTAAGGCAATTATCTTACCGTTCTCTGTTTACAGAGAAAAATTTCAACTTTGCATGATCTTCAGTCTGTTTGTACTTAGCTCATAGCCCATCAAAGATCCTCTAGAATTTTCCAGGGCGGGGAATTCCATCCTTCCACTGCGGATGTGGGGATTAAGCTTGTGTTGGGGATTATGGTGCACACAAACGTTGGGGATTATGGTGCACAAACAACTGCACCCAGTAAGTTCCATGAGCAACAAAAGCAACAAAAAGAGTTTTCTATGTGGTTCGGCCAAATTTGCCTACATCCACAGTCTCTCATCCTTTATCTTCACAAATCAATACAGCCAATACAATTGATACAAGTGGTACAAATTATGCAAGGACAAACTTGAAAAGCCTTGCACATCTTACATCTTCAAGGAATCCAAGAACAATGATCACTCAAAAGCTCCATGAGGCTAACCATCACACTACATTTCAAAGACCTCGAGACATCGATCACTCAAAAGTTCTAAGAGGATCCTCCCTCTCTACAAGAGGATAACTTTTTCAACACTAACACACCGTTTTTATAACTTTTTTCCTTTACTATTTTCAATGACCAATTTGGCAATTTTCAAGAGCAACCTTCAAGCTTCAATGCATGCATCCTCCTATGGTCAACATTGCATTTATCTACCTCATTTTGAGATCCGGGAGAATCCTAGTAATTCCTCCCTCGAACCAAATCTCCAACACCTCAATGTGACTATCTGTTTTCAACACCGACCGTGCACCTCCATCGGTCATCACGTCTCTGTTGGTCGCCACTTCTTTGCCAATATTGGTGAGCCACCATTGTGATTGCCCTCCATTACCAATTGCCATAGCTAGTCTTATGCATTTATCTACCTCATTTTGAGATCCGGGAGAATCCCAACAATTCCTCCCTCGAAACAAATCTTCAATACCTCAATGTGACTAGTTGTTTTCAGCACTGACCACGCACCTCCATCGATCGTCACGTCTCTGTCAGTCGTCCCTTCTCTGCTAATGTCGGTGAGCTACCATTGTGATTGCCCTCCATTACCAATCGCCATAGCTGGTCTTCAAGGCTCATTGCCACCGTCCATGACCCCTTGCCATTGCCACACCACCGTCCAGTTGTTGCACACGCTTCCTCCTCAATGCGACATCACTGCATTGCCTCTCCTTGGTTCTTGCCTTGCATGCATTTCCGCTTACTGTTGCACGCCTTGGATCTTTCACTGCACTGTTATCCATCTCTTTCAGGGCCACCACACACACAAATTTGCACCATGAGATGCTAATACTCCCAAGACTACAATCGCTTCATTCAACGATATCTTCGGCCTCCAATTGTTGGCAACGACATTGCAAATGACTCTTCCATCTTGCTTTACAAACTTCTCCCTACAGTACACTCCATCCTTCTCAAAAACTCGGACAACCTCATCTCTGATATGACTGTTGGGGATTAGGGGTGGGCAAAAACCCAAAAAAAACCGGTTCAACCGAAAAAATCGCCCGAAAAAGCGGACCGGTTAACCGAACCGGATTAAATGGATTGGAAGAAGACTCTAAACCGTCTGAACCGAATTAAACCGGATTGGATCCGGTTTGAACCCCTGAACCGCCCGAAAAAAACCGAACCGAATTTTCTAATATAAATACTGAAAAATCCCTAACCCTAACTATTTCTGGACTATTTGCATGGTTTGTAACTAAGTAACTCTTTAATGAGTTTATTATTGTGGTATGGTATGTACTTGTTGATATGGTTTGCGCTCATTTCACTGATTTTAGTTTTTTTGTTAGCTGTGACAATGGTGTTACTTCAAACAAGCTCCACATTTTATTGTTTGGGGAAAAAAAATTAAGTAGACAAAATGGACAAATAATGATACTTCATCAGAAATTAATAGGCAATGATCTTAGGTGTGGACAGATTTTTGTGAATTGGAAGTAATTCGGCCCAAAACCGAAACCGATTCGAACCGATCCGAATTTCGGTTGGGCCGAATATTCGGATGAAGGGGAAAATTTTGGATCTGGATGAGAGTTTTGAGAATTCGAAAATTTTGGATTGGATGCGAATTGGGCTTAAAACCGACCCGAACCGAATATGCCCAGTCCTATTGGGGATTATGGAACACACAAACAATTGCACACGATAAAGAGCGCAACAATACAGAACATTGTTTACGTGGTTCGGCCAAACTTGCCTACATTCGTGGTCTCTCATCCAATATCTTCACAACCTAATACAACCAATTCAAGTGATACAAGAGATACAAGTTTTGCATGGACAGACTTAAAAGTCCTCGCACATCTCACATTTCTCAAGGAATCCGAGAATACTGATCACTCAAGAGCTCCGAGAGGCCAACCATCACACCATATTTTTCAAGAGTTCGAAGAGGATCCTCCCTCTCTACAAGAGGGAAAGACTTTTTCAACACTAACACACCCTTTTTATAGCCCCTCTCCTTTTCTATTTTCAATTACGAATTAATACTCCTGGCAATTTCCAAGAGCATTCTTCAAGCTTCCCATGTATGCATCCTTTAAACTTCTACGCTAAACATGCATTTTCTACCTCATTTGGAGATTTGGGGAGAAACCCAACAGCTCTTCATCTATTATAGAATTAAAATCTCAGCTAACTACTCTCCATGCAATTCGAAACCACGTATATCATGCAGTAGATGCTAGTAGATGTTTTATTTTTATATTTCCTAGCACTAACTCAGAACTTTGAACTTATGGTGAAAGTTGAGGGTTAAATTTTTTATTCTGCCATGTCTTCACATGTTGAGATTCTCTTTCAAATTCAGAAACTATTAATTTTCAGAAAATATATCAATTTAGTCTCTAATGCAGATGATTTATTGTTTTCATCCTCAAATTAACACAGTCCGACATGGGATTAGTGCATATACAACTTTAATATACAACTTTACAGGACTTTTTATGCAATAAACTTGATTATCAGATAGAAATACATAGTTAAGTGACCAACCAGTGATCTCTATTTATCCCATATCATTAATGCCCTGTTTGGATGGAGGGTAGAGAGGGGGAGGGGAAGAGAAATGCAGCTTTCACCTTGTTTGGGAGTTTTTTTAAGGAGGGTAGAGAGGAGGAAGGAAGGGGAACGGAGGGTAAAATTGTTTGGTTTTCTTTCCCCCCAAATTTGGGCGGTAGAGGAGGGTAAAGGAGGGTAAAGGGGTGTAATAACATTCTTATCCCCATCAAAACAAATAAAATGGCTGATGTGTTATTAGTATAAAGTCATTTATGTAAATTTACATATATTTACTTCCTTTCACCTTCATTCACCTTACTCAACTCCCAAACAACATATTACAATTCTCTTCCCTTCCCTTCCATTCCCTTCCCGTTGTTTACCTTTACTCAACTCCCAAACAACATATTACAATTCTCTTCCCTTCCCTTCCATTCCCTTCCCGTTGTTTACCTTCCCTTCCCTTAGTAAACTCCCAAACACACCATAAGAGATCTATGTATTTATGTAGTATATATCTCTCTCTATCCAAATCTCCAATAGCAGTATAAATGGCATATAATTTGAAATTCAGACAATGAAGCTGTGTTATTGTCTTCTCTTGTTTTGACATTTACTTCTCTTTTCAATCAAAATTTCCCTCTTTTAATCTAGTTCGAGATTCCAATGACTTAGTAATTTTCATAAAACAGGAAAGGGCACCAGAGAAGAGGCCGATCATTGGTTTGCCTTCTATCTCCAACTTGACATGGCAAAAGCCTCTGTTATCTTCTGCAGCATCATCAGGATTCTCCACTGTCACAGCCAAAACTACCACAGGTCCTCCACCGACCACCAATTATTATTATTTGCGGAGCTGAAGGCACTCGAAAACTCATTCCAAAGGTGCAAACATGGTTATATGTGTGTGTGTATATGCATGTATTCATGTACGTGAGACAATATATTTAACATGTTATATGTGTGTGTATATGCATGTGTTCATGTACGTGAGATATTGAACATATTATACTAAAAACACCTATGCTAGAAACTTGGAGGCAAAGCGAAGGATATTGTTATGTAAAGTAATAAACCAGGGTGGTGCATGTTTTCATTAACATCATACGTATCGTATGCATTACTGTATATTTCCGATTGTACTAAAATTTCATACTATTTTGTTATTGAAATCAGTGTTCTTATGTGTGTGTGTGTGTGTGTGTACACACACACACGGGCATTATCCATGTTCTTGTATCCAAATGTCCTAGAATGAACATGCCATTGCTTTTTATAAGGAAAGCAAAGGGTAACTACCTTCTGTTTCGTGCTTGTCTTGCTTCTGGCTTTAAAAGATGATGAACTTAGCCGAGTTCTTCTGAGTCCTTGCTGCCACTTGCTTTATTATTATTTTTTTGTTGGATTTTTTTACTCCAAAGAAACAATGGCTGGGGCCCTTAGCTTTTGTTGGCCTAGTTTTATGCCTCATGTAGGTGCTAACTCAAGGAGCTGTTTACATAAGTTGGTGAATGGTATTAATCAAAATTGACTGAATCATCTTTGCTTCATGAATCATGGCACCTGGGGCATAGTTTTATATTAGTGAGAACTAGAGTAAAACTATCCTAAACTTAAGTGGACTAAAGTCTTTGCCCACGTACCTTTTTTATTGGATTTGCTTTGAGATTGTGTTGACGTGCGATGGATCTTGAGAAGTGTGTATTGCGCATCTACACGCGAGAAAATCCAAAAAAAAAAAAAAAAGCTAGCGAATATAGCCGTCAGTCCACTTAACTTTATAGGAGCATTTCACTGAAAAAAATTATTTGATGATCATGAAAATTGACCTAGCAAGTTTAAAAAAAAAAAAAGCTTGGAGCATGAATAATGGCATTTGCGGTCTTCATGAGATTATATTGGATCTCTTTTCTTCATGTGTTACTCTTAGCTTCAACGATAGACCTTTGAAAGAGAAGGGTGTGGTCCTATAATTCCAAATGGATGAGGAAAATGACATTCACACCTACAATTTCCCTATCAATCTTATATTCACACCATCAAACAAACTTTTAATGTACGTAGAGAAAAGTTATTTATTTCGCACTGTTGTCTTCAACTCTTTTGGTACAAAAAATGACATGCAACTTCTATTGGGAACTTGGGATTAACCATTATAGGAAAGGGGATAAAAGAACTGTTACCTTTATTTTATCCTTTTTATTCCAAGGACTTTCAACAAAATACTAAAATATAAGTAGTATGATCACCAGTCACAGGATAAGATAGGGATTAACGCCACTAACAATCATTTCGATAGAGTCGAATGATTCCATGCTCTATTTATTTATCTCCGTAATTGTATCTTAGCATGACTCATAATCATTAGCTTAAGAACCAAATCGAATCCATACTTAATTTAACAAAGATTTTATCAAGAAGATCTAGTATTCCGCAGAGCGTGATTATTTAAACCCAACTAATCAATAATTAAGCATAAAATTTATCAACCTTTAACCAGCCTATCACCAAAGAGAACCAAACAATTACGACTGTCCAAAAGTAGCTAACATCCAAAAGGCAAACACCTTAAAAAACAACCAACAAATGAGAACAAAAATGGACTGATCGAGAGACGGTGTACTTAAGCGGTTTTACAATATTATTCCCTTAAATTTTTAATATCATTATTAGGTCCCCGGTTCTTCTAAGTTGTTCATTAGCCCCTCAAATCATTAAAGTCGGTACATTAACTCTTCAATTCTTATAATTTTTCCAAATTAGTCCCTCTTTCACAAGTGAAAGTAGCAAAGATATAAAGATCGTGGACGTAGTAGAAATTTTTATGTTTTAAGGGGCTAATACAGGAAGAAACAGATATTTGATAATTCACATAATTACACCCGCCCACCTAGCCATCCAACTTATCCTCTGCCCTAAAAGTCAAGAGTGGAGGCATCGACTATCAAAATATAAGAATTGACAGGAACTAATAGCAATTTCAAGTGTTTAATAAGCGTTTAAGGAAATAAGAGGCTGAGAGTGACTAGTGAAAGTAGGAAGGTGACTTATAGTTCTTACTTTATGAGTTTATTTTATTGAAAGTGCACGCGAAACTAAAATATAAAAAATATGCTACATTAAATAGATTTAATGTATATTCAACTTTTCATAAAAAGTACAGATGTCAAATGAAAGTGCATAGGTAAGAGTTTTATTATATCTTTCTATTTTTTTTCTTCATGAATAACACTTATTTTTATTCAGTGCTGTAGGCCCCGAAATCTGTTTATTCGGCACATATTGGAGTTCAGAATATTTTCTTGATAGCTTTCTAGATTAGTCCTAAAATGTTTACTATTTTTCAATTACGGGTGATTATATCAAAAATAATTTTTTGTAGAGTGTTTTTTTAATTGTTAATAAAATAAAAGAACAATTTTACCTAGTACATATGACTTGTTTTGAATTCCCTTTTTTCCCCCTTAAAGTTACTGAAAATCCTTGGATTTTAGATAAATAAAAGGAAAATTGTGTCAATGCCCCAATAATAATAACCTCATGTGACATGGTCCTTCCACATTTTCCCCTTTTGGATCAAACCCAAAATAACTGCATTTAATGTGTCCGGGCCTCTCCACGTCAGCCATATAGAATCAAAGGTACTGTATTTTTGCAATAAACCCTAAATTGTCCTTCTCCTTCTTCCCAGACCTAGCGCCCCCCTCAAGACTTTTCATGAGCGAAAGTCAAATCCCATTAATGGCGATCTGATGGGGGGATTGGAGAAAAATTTCCCCCTATTTTTCTCTATCATGAGCAATAAGTCTCTAGTTAATTGTTTAGGATTTTTGTTTTTCAATACTCCTATTGTCCCAAAATTCTCTCCGTTACTCCTTCTACCCTCCCTTCATAATGGCTGAGAAGGCTATCATCTGCATGGTCTCCTCAGGTGATAAAGCAGTTTCTTAAAGATTAACTCTTCAACCACTATGATGGAACTCAAATTTGATGTGTCAGAGATGTTAAAACTTCCATACGATTCTTTATCGTTAGCAAACAAAGATGAAACAAACGGTAATTTCACTTTTCCTATTGAGAATGAAGATGATCTGTTGTCTATGGTGGAGCATCCATAACTGTTGGAAATTTATCAAATAATTAAGATTATAGCATGCAGATAAATCCGAAATTAAAATAAACAAGGGATAAGAAATTCAGGCCTGACGGGAGCAGTCGTGTATTCACTGCCCTAGAAGATTAAGAACCCGCCTATCGCCCTGGCACAGATGGTTCCCTCCCCCCTAGCGGTAAAAACCCCCGGAAACGGCCGGCCTCTACACTCGGGCGAGAGTGCAGAGCTTCAGCTCAGATGGAGGAAGTTGCCCATAAAATAAAACTAAAATGTAGATGAAAATAATATGTAGGGGAGAGAAGAAAAACAAGAGAAACTTGTTGTATATTTTTCTTCTTATTATTTTGAGCTCAACATACGGATATATATATAGGGTTGGAAAAGACGTTACAAAACCCGTAATTAATTCCGTAACGTTCGTCATAAATTTTGTAACGTTCCCCATAATTATATAGCCGTTACACATATTTTTAATTGCTAATTAAAACATGTTTTAATTATAAAACTTTATTACTATTCATGAAGGCAAAATTGTCTTTTCTTAACAAAATATCTAACAGTCCCCCCCAAAAGGCAATATTGACTGAAGACTCAGAAATCAATAAATAAATCAAGAAATCATAAAACAAATATAGGTTGGGCAACCTTACGTATCGTGAATTCGGGAAAGGTAGCTTTCGGCTTTGAACCTTTCCTTAGTGAGTTCATCGCCACCTGAGGGACATAATGGACTAGGCCTTGAATTAGGCCCCTTTAATCAGGTATTGATGAAAACACACACAATACGCTTCATCTATTGAGCAAAGCGGGCTGAGCGTTAAAGGCCATGCTCACAATAAACCGACTCATGAGAGTTTCTAGGGGTTAGTCCAGCCCCCCCTAATCGCGGCCATCACGGTTCCTCTCACGTAGGTAAGTCCTCAAAGGGTACTACAGCTGTTTATTTAATACCCCCACAATACACGCGTTGGACTTATTAAGAGTAAAACTCAGCCTAGCCAGCTGTATCATAAGAGCATCGTCATCATAGAGAAGGGGTAGTAGCAAATGCTACATAATGATATATAAATATATCTAGGTCGATGCTCCACACGAGTGTCACTAGTCCAGCTTGTTTCTACCACATTGAACCGACATTGGGACTACGTCTCCAAATAAGGGTTGGGTTGCCGCTGTCAGTGACCTCATCTATGGGCTTAACCCCATCTCCCTCGATGAATCCAGAACCACACTCCTGGATAATCCCTTAGTCAAAGGGTCATCAAGATTCTTTTCACAGACTTTACAAAGTCTAGAATCATAACTTTGCCTAGCAGGCGTTGTATTTATTTATCAAGTTCTTATTTTGTAATTAGTCCATCATATTGTTTGAAATTGACATTAGGTCATGATCTATGATCATAAAAGATCATAGTCTATGTCTGAAGAGATTGACCTTAATATCTGAACATTTCAAACTAATGTGGAACTAAAAATTCTGCAGTTATGCATATGCACATACATGAATGAAATTAATAATAGATACATGCAGAGCATAATAGGATTTCGTATCTTAAAATATATTTTCGTATCTTAAAATATATTTCATACTTCATAATTCAAATGCATAAAATTTTTAAAATTCTTCTATTATAAGAGGTTACAAATTGGTTGCCTACAAAGGAGACCGTCCAAATTTAAATCGGTTGCCTACAAATGAGACCTTCCAAATTTAAATTGGTTGTCTACAAAAGAGACCTTCCAAATTTATGTTGCCATTTTCTAGTACCACCTCTTATACAAATAATAATAATAATAAAATTATTATTTGTACATACGTGCTTTAAATTTTACAAGTGCATTCTTGCATAAAACCTTATAATTAATCATGTAACAAATGCAAGTTATCTAAAAAGACATATGAACATTTATTACAATATTCATCAAAATGCAATAAAAGTGATAAACTTTACATTTGAAGATTTAAAATATAATCCACCATATAAAATAGAATTTTAAAAAATGCTCCTCTTTGATTTGGTTCGCTCATATACTGATCATTTATCATTAGGCAATATATGATGCAAGAAA